CCACTGGGTACACTCCAGCAAAGTTGATGTTTGGTCGGGAACTTCGGTTGCCAGTGGATCTGTTAACAGGACGCCCACCTTACGATGAGTTGCCTGAAAATGTGTCAGTGTTCGTGAAAGTGTTATCGGAAAGGATGGATTATATTCACCATCAAGTGCGTTCAAACTTGAAAACGTCTGCTGATTTGATGAAGTTATGTTATGATAAGAGATCAACTGAAGTAAGCTCTGTACCAGGAGACAAGGTGTGGTTGTATAATCCCAGGAAGACCAAAGGGAAGTCTCCTAAGTTGTCTTCTCCTTGGGAAGGTCCATATGACATAGTGGATCGTCTCTCAGACATGACTTTCCGAATAAAATGTGGTCGGCCAGGTAAGCCAAAGGTGGTGCATGCCAACAGGCTTTGGCGTTATCACGGTCCAGGACATTCCAATTGGGATGAAGTGGACAGCAGAGCAAATGACGCTGCTGAAGACGTGTCACCTGAAAAAGCCACTGTCAAAGAAGAAACTCTACCCGATTTTGAGAAGGGAAACAGTGAAGCCCTTGATGAAGTTACTCCCACTGATGTGACTGTTATTGATGATAGAACAATTCCACATGGAGCAGATGAACCTCACGTGAAGCAGAAGCCAACGAGATGGAGACCAGTACGGAAGAAGATACGTCCCATAAAATTAAGAGACTTTGTTGAATTTTAATTTTTGTGTTTGTAAATTCTGTACATTTAATTAAGTTATTATTAATCATCTATTGGTTTAATGTAAGTGGCTATTGTCCGGGACGAACATTACTAAGGAGGGGGCAGTGTTACGACAGAGGAAGTCATGTGACGCTAGTAACACGTCATGATATTCTAGAAGGATCATGTCTGTTCGTGGCAACTCTGGTCTTTTCTACGCGCCCTATATTCTTGTATAAGAATGTTATATATTGTATATTCTTGTGCGCCAGATAAAGCGAAATTAATTAATCGTAATAGAATTGCAGAAGGAAAGAGACGTACAATTGAGTCAAGCACGGTAGTGACCGTAAGTAAAGTACGTGAATCGTTATGAATTATAGCGTGTGTTGAAGTTAAAGTGACTGTGGATATTAAGTGTATTGCAAAGTTGAGTTGAAAAAGAATAAACTAGTTTTATTTAAGAAAAGACTTGTATCGCTGAAGTTTCTCGGAAAGAATTTATACGGAAAATTAACAAACGAACACAGAGACGTAACAATATTTTCATTGATGATTATAAATAATACAATCCAAAATTAAATATTCTGAAAAACTTATGAAAGTTTTTATAAGATTAAAATACGATTGCACATTTAATGCAACATTTCGTCTTTGACAACATAAAAGTTATTGAATATTTGTGAAAAATGAAACAGAAAAATTTGCTTCAGGAAAATTTTATTTTAATTATACAAAACAAGTTGTCAGAAGTTACAATCCCTGGAAAAAAGTTAATGGTTATCTTAAAAGGTTATTTTATTAATAAACTTTAGAATTCAGTGAAACACTTTAAATTTTTAAATATAACCAACTAATCCAGCGATTGCAGTTTATTAATGCTAAGAATTAAATTTATTATTTGAAGATACAGTGTTTCTATAGGCTGCTTTGGAATAAGTATAGCTAAGAATTTAAGCATTGAACAAGAAAAAATATGTAATTTAATGTGAGTTGAAAAACTTGTTAGCATCTAGATATTTTAAAGAATAAGTAATAGTTGTTTATTCAAAGAACTAATTATTTTATGGCTCTTATCAGTCATTGCTTTTATTGAACCTAATATGCATTTCTATCAACAAGGGAAAAAACTGTACAAATTAGCAGAACTTTACTTAACAAAATATAATTTTTGAATTACTGAAAATAGAAGTGTTTTTCTCCTGGCTTAAGCTGATGTCCTGACTATTTTTTTTCCATAAAAGTTAGCATTGTACTGTCATGAATCATAGGTGACTCATGTAATTTGAAACATTTAGCATTTCTTGGAGCAACACTACTGCATGTTTTGCAGTTCCCCAAGATAAACCAATGCCATGACTTCCGTGGCCATAACAGTGTATAACCTGGAAAAATACAAGTATTTATTATCATTACTGTTTTTAATCGTTAACCTTTTCTATTCAAGTGTTCTTGAAAAACAAATTATATAGATAGTCATTCAACATTAATACACAACAGATATCTCAGAAATTTTTACGATTCTTTAATTCATAACAAATTAATTTTAGAACAAGTTTTGCCGCAAAACGTATCATGTTTAAAACTTATAAATACATATGTTAAAACTTATGACTGGGATCAAATATGTAACTATCTAATTTATCTGCGTCGCTTTCAAGGAAGGAATTAATCACTAAAACGACTTTTGTAGAATAAGCTAGTTTTATGCCTTTTTGGAACAATAAAGGATTTCATTCAAAAACTTTACAATCTTTTAAAAATATTCTCACTAATCAGCAACGATTTTATTTTATTCAACAACAACATATGCACTAAATAAAATTATGGGTGAACATGACCCCCCCCCCCCAAAAAAAAAACATACTGTTGCGTCTCCGTTTGTTAATTAACTTTCCGTAACTTTGTTGCAACGAAACTTTAACGACACAAGCCTTTACTTAATAAAACTGGTTTATTCTTTCCGAATA